ATATTGCCGATTCTTTGGATCTTATCAAGGAGCTCAAGGTAAATAGCAGGAGCACTGGAACCTATGTGTCAGCAATAGTCTAAGAATGAACAAATTGTAGACTTACAGATATGCAAGATAGATTCTGGAGAGAAAAAAACTGTCTTGCCTGACATAGTGAACAGATTTCTTGGAAATATTTGTACAATAATCTCCCTTGTTATCTTCTCCACAATTTTGAATTCAGAGTTGTGCCATCTGGGGGATGGCAAACCTAATCAACCCTGCTCTTTCACCCAGAGCTGGAGAGGGAAATGGACTCATGCCTTTCTCAAGTTGTGCAAAAGTAAGTGCAACAGGTTAGGTGTGAATTTGAATTAATCCCGAAGATTTAACTTTCCATGCTGAATGATGAGCATTACTTCTTAGATTAGACTAAAAAGCCACATAAATAGCAAGGTATGTAAAGGTACCTTAGTGGAAAAAGAACTCCCTATGAGCAAGCTCAGACATTAATAGCTAGGACCCACCATGCCATGTACACAAAGGCAAATCATCCCCATTGTGTTCCACCCAGACTGTTTCACAAAGTAACAGTTCTGGGGAAGAAACTAACTCCCAAGAGAATGCTTCCCTGACAACTACAATTTTGGTCACTTTAAGTCCAGGGTCAACCGATATCTATCCTATTTGTTGTCATAATACTTTTATTTCCCCCCCTTCCTTACAATATCATTTAGTAACACTACTTTGAGTGGCTCTTGCGTGATCTAACAGTTGTAAGGAAAAGAAAAGAAACTTTAGAAAAAGAAAAAAAAAAAAAAAAAAAAAAATTTCCAACTTTACAAGAATTCAAACTCAACAAAATAGCCTAATTGGGGGGAAAAAAAAATTTGTGAGCATGGACAAAAATTGATAGAATGCTGATTAACCCACTGTAAGATATGGTATTAATTATAAAAATCAAATTTAAGTATTATACATAGGTTTTTATCTGTCTATATAATACTAAAACTAATCTTGTACATATGGGTGTTTATGTTTGTTCCCGAGATACAGTTTAAACAATACATAGTACCACAACCAATTGAAAAGCATATTGTACCTTGAACTCCTGTTGAATACAGTGTCAACTTTCATTAAAATTAGACAAAGGACTCAATACATTTGCATGAGTGGGTCTCTGTTCACCCATAAATCTTTATTAAATGACTCAAGTCAGTTAAAACTTGTGGTTACACTAGCCTATTTGTGTGCCAGACCACTGGCAAGCTAACCAATATTCTACAGACAAGGGATTCTTTTGCCACGGCCATTTTCTGTTTTTACAACATTTTTAATAGGAAATCCAGTATTTGTTTCGCTACAGATTCTTGTATCGATCAACATATATAAACCAAGACATTTATTTCTTGTCACTACACATTTTGAAATAAATGTCAAGAATAAACAAATATACTTATTTTGGAAAAAAAAAAATTTTGATTTAAAATCCTTGTTGCTCTTTGTATCACTGGAACTAGTAAAATAATTTTTTTTGTAAAACACAATCTGGAAAATCTTGCAAAAATAATTGTCAGATGTTAATGAAACTTTCAGAAACTATTCACAGATGATGGAAATTATAAATTTTTATTTTTTTTTTAATTAAAGTCATGGCAGAAAAAAAATTTTTTATATTTATTACCCCACAACTAATTTCATGAAAACTCTAGAAATTCAGTTGTGTTCAGTTTAGTGATTATATTAGTTAAAAGCACAAGGCTTTAAAAGAAACAAATCAGGATATTTTGGTGTTTTTTTAATCTGAACACCATCCTAAGCCATCAACATTACTACATTTTTAAAAGTACCATTTATTTCACTTACATATTTCATTGCAATTTCAATTTTGTGAAGTTGTTTTACAGTTTTTTGAGTGAGTCATCTTATTTCAATGTTATGAAATTTAATCTCACTCAATAGTCTTATTTTAATTTCTTTACAATATATTTTCCACAACGCATCGTAAACAAAGGTGAAAGCTAAGTATATAAAAAAAAAAAAAAAAAAAAAAAAAAAGAGTGCTGAAAGTTTTCCTTAAAAATAACAAGGTAAATAATTTGTTCACTTAAATCTAAATAATTTCAGGTCTCTTTCCGTAGAATAAATTATCCTCACGTAAGATAACAATACGTCATGAAAATATCATTCATCACCTGTCAAGTGACGCGAAATGTTATGACCTGCTTTATTTTCAAATTACATCTTAAAAAAAAAAAAAAAAAAAAAAAATTTCCTTTAGAGTTCAAACTCGGTATGTAGGTTACTTACATGATGGCGAGCTTAACGATGCCTCATTTTTGTTTCTACACCCCTGCATTTGGCGAAAAATCACAAAAGATAATTTCAAATTTAAAAATAAAAACTCCCTCAATTTTCAAGCAATCTAATACAAATTTCTCTTAGCAATAAGTAGCCAACAATAAGTTGATTGTTTAACAGTCATTTAACTTTATAACTGAGTCCTCCAATGTAGCGTAAATAGCGAAAAGTGATTTTTACTGGTTTCTTTCTTATTTTTTGTTGATCTTTCAACCAATTTTCATCAAACTTAACAATTGCATTATAAATGTATCCTCCTTTACATCCCTGGAAGCACACTGACAAATTGAATTGCAAAAACTCCCAAAGAGTTGTGATGTGAAGTGTGTCTTCATGTTGCCAGTATTAACCCCTTCATGTCCTCAGTTAACTTCAATTGAATAAATACAGACTACTTTAGTTATATCAGTAACTGCATTGATTGAAAATGTTTTTTAATGAAAATACTCTAAAGTAATTGAAGAAGATAGATTCAGTTACATCTAAACATGATCCTGTTTTTGCTCCATTCTAACTGAATGCTTTTTCTGATCAACCAGCTGGGTATGGCTGTTAGTTAATAATAAAATTGATAATATTATTACCTCATCATTTTGTATCATGAACTGTTTTAAAAGAAAACCCAATGGATTTACAGGTGGTCTAAAGCCTATAATCTCAGAATTGGATTAATGGACATTAATGTCTTATAGAGTTGATTGGAAGATAAACCATTACTAATTAACTGAAAGTAGGTACCCAGGGAACAAGCATCAGGTGTTGTTACCCATCCATTGCCTTAAGATGCACAGAGTTAGCTGGTACTTCTTGTAATACTTAATACAACCAGACAATTTCTTGATGTTGTACTATATGACCTATGGCTGTATTCTGTGTAGTCCCGCCACCAGAGAGTCAAAGAGAGAAAAGAAAAAGGGGTGGTGATCTTCAATGTAACCAGATAGGGCACATTATGTTTTGTTTTTTTTTATTGTATATAAAAAAAAAAAAAAAAGTAGGCAAAATAAAGGCGAGATGTGTAACGAAACCGATTTTGTGTTTAAACATGTGAGGTGATTGGGCAAATTTGCAGATAATGTCCCAGTGACCAATTAAAAAAAAAAAAAAAAAAAAAAAAAAATTATTACAAAAGTAGAAATAGAAAATTGAGGAAGTGCTACCATTTAGGAGATATTGCCAATCTTAGTTGGGTAGTTGGGTCCCGGGTAGAGCCTGGCCACCTCAGTCAGGTATCTACAAAGGCGCTTGGTATGGTGAGCGATTGACTTCAGGAACAGAAATCGAGCAGGCGGTCAGGCTATATCCGGGCCCCAACAAAAATTGGAAATAGTCTTAAAGATAACCTTTCCTTAACTTTTGATATTTTTGCAATCGGGCTTTTTTACAACATGAATAATATACTTTTTTTTCTATAATATTGTTCACTGGTTGAAAAAGAAATATGGAACAATTTTTAATTTAATTTTTTTTTCTTCCTTTGACAAAGAAAATTAAAGTGAATTGTAACGACCTTGTGGAAGAAAAAGGAAAAATGCCTGATGGTGGCCGGGTGGGACAAAACAAAAAAAACAAAAACTTTCCTTCTGAATACCCTGCCGTAGTGTAACTGAGCTCAATCCGCATTGGTTAGAAAACCGACACTTGTGACTGTGTCACAGCTTACCTTATTCAACAATAGAAGGACTTCAAAAACTATTTTCGTACAAAAAAATAGCTATTTACCTGGGTTAGCAGTATTGATTGATTGATGAGTATTAATTTGCCGAAAATCATGATTACTTCCAAAGACATAAGACGTCATTCTGCCTTTAGAAAAGAATATAGGTGAAAGAGCTTTTTTTAAATACATTTTTTTAAACAAAGGAAAAAAAAGAAAGAAAAAAAGAAAAACTAAAAATGTTCAGTTTTGTTAAAATTCTTATAATTAAATTACGTGTTTAAACACTTCTTAGCAGCCCATGTTTACACTTGGCAAGTTCCCCCACCGACCAAGTTTGTATTTGGATTTTTGGCATATGAAATTTCTTGTTTAAAAAGTTCCTTGTCAGCTATAAATTACATAAAAAGTTTAACTTTAGAATTAAAAATTGACTTAATACTTTCTTTTTAATGATTTTTTTAAAGAAAATTGAAAAATTAAATATTACGAAATTTATTCAAATTATTTTTGTGTTGGGGAGACTAAAAACAAAATTATTTTTTTGCTATTAATGTTAAGCAAAGAAAAAAAAATGCATTGTTAAAAATTTCGTGATGGGCCGGGTTAATTATAGAAAAATATTAATTAATTTTATATTTTTAAAAAGTCAAATAACGCAAAAAAACAAAAAAAAAAAAAAAAAAACAATAACAAAAAAATGATAAACAAAGAAAAAAATGTATAAACAATTTCGGCATGAGGATAACAATTCCTAACTAATTCTCTTAGTGCATATTACGATAGATATTTTTCGTTTTAAATTCTGAAAAGAAAAAAAATACAGAACAGGTGGAAGAAGAAAAATAAATAAGAAAAATGATAACAATTTTTTAGGCTAGACACTTTTTACCATCGACATAACGTGAAGAGCAGTTTCTTGCTGAAGGACAAACAATAACATCATCAAATGCAAGCACAAATGCAGAATATTTTAAGAGTATCAATTGAATTCACTTACAGCACGTTGCCATACTGAAGGAGACAAAGGAGAAGCTTTAAAAACGCACGGAAATTTACTAAATGACGAACACTGACTTCGAAAGAAGACCTTACAAAGATTCAACGCCATGATGGTATGGGAAAGAACTCGGACTGAACAAGGGCGATAACTCTAATTGTCCTTTTCCTGATTTTTCATCGATCCCTCTAAGCGGTGCGTGTTTTTAACGGGACCACCGGACTCGGTCTTCAAGAAACGAACTATCGGCTGTTCACCTTGTAAATTTTATATTTATTTGCTAAATGGAATCATGTTTCTGTATGCGACAATAATAGTAAGAAATTTTATTGGTCGAATTATAGATGATGTAATAGAAATTTTCCTTGATTGCTATTTCATAAGAAAATAGTGTATGTGTTTTCCGCCAATTGTTGCGTGACTTTTGGTTGGAACACCCTGTACACGTTGCTTACTCTATAATAATTACTCCATACAAATTTTTTTAAAAATTACTAAGTTTAACATAGACACCTCCACTTTTTCGCGGAAAAAAACAGCATGATGAAAAAAGGCCCCAAACTCAATAAAAACAAAGTTAAGAGGAAAGACCAAAGTATAATTTTATATCATTATTTGAAATTTTTTTAATCCTTTCTAGTACATTCGAAATTTTGGTTCAAAATCTTGTTTTGCTAACGTCAACGACCGACGTAATGATAAAGGTTACTTTTTGTTTGTTTGATTTTTTTTTTTTTGCGCTTTTTCGGGTGAAAATCACACTCACTTGGAAATTCTTGCAAAAATCAAATAATTGTCGGATTTTAATGAAACTTTCAGGACATATTCAGACATGAATGAAATTATTTTTTTTTTTAGAAAATCTTGGAAAAAGATATTTTTTTACATATATTACCACACACTTACTTAATTTCATGAAATTTCGAGAAAACCAGCTTTTAGAGCGGGGATTTTTTTATTAGTTAAAAGCAGGACTTCTTGGAGAAAGTAAAAATTATCAATTTTTTTTTTTTTTGTGAAACAGTTAACCCTTTCCCCAAAAATCTGCTCTGAATTGTAAAATAAAAATGCAATAAAGCTATGACATTAATTAGAAAAGCTTTTAATTGCTTTGATAAATAAGATTTATTAATATAATATTGTCTTAAGAAGCTTTCAAGTTTCAAGTGACAATGACAATTTAAATAATTAACGTATTATTTCAATTTGGTGTGCATATCTGGTATGGATTTGCTTTGGTATGCGATCTACACATTATATTGCGATCTACACTTTATATTGCGATCTACGTGTCGTGAATCGCACCCAGACTACTTCTGTTGACGGTTGATAAGAAAATAACCTCCTGATTTCTATTTTTAGCATTATTAGCCGAGGTACGTTACAATATTATTAATAGATTTTTTTTTTAATATTTTAATTACATTTTCTCTATGTTGTGTGGTGGACTCTTACGTCGTATTCGACGCATGAGGGTTAGCAACTCAGTTCTTAGGAACCGACAGCCCAGACACCAGTACATACGAGTTGATTACAGTGGTGAAGGTTTTATGCAGAACCATCCACACTTTTTGAAGGAGCGAATGCAGAGACCTGGTGCACTACGTGCCACAAGGTCCCCGAACGACTCTCCGGAGATTTTGAATTCAGAGTTATCCTTCTCCTACACCAGTTGTCTGTCCTGCTATTTATCCATAGCTTTCATACCTTTCCCAAGAGTATTAGCACATAAGTGAATGTAATGGATTCGACTGGATATATATATATATATATATATATATATATATATATATATATATGCTATTTTTTTTTATGTTTTACTATGTGGATATCATTCTACATTAAAATTTGTAAGGTGTAGATATTTTAGCCGATGTACTGGGTGGTCCTAAAGTCTTGTCACCGCTGCACAAAATAATTTTCTATTTCAGATGGCTGAAATGAAAATGATGGTGTTTATACCGACCTCCTCGACATGTGACAGCGTCAATTAAAATGAATAAACTTAATTCTGGACATTTGCTTTGTATTACTGTATTAATTGTTGTTCTCATTACTTTTTGGGGTGACAAGTCGTTCGGACCACCCAGTACGTGCTGTTTACCGTTAGAATATGAATCAAGGACAATTTTTTAAATATTTTAATTACATTTTCCTACTTTATGTTATATCAATATATATATATATATATATATATATATATATATATATATGGAGGACTCTCCTGTCGTATTCGACGTATGAGGGTCAAGCAGCTCAGTTCCTAGGAAATGACAGCCCAGACGCCAGCATATATGATTTGATTACAGTGGTGAAGGCTTTGTGCAGAACCAATCTCACTTTTTGAAGGGCCGAATACAGAGACCTGGTGCACTATGTGCCACAAGGTCCCCAAACGACCCTCTGTAGGTTTTGAATTCAGAGTTGTCCTTCTCCTAGACCAGTTTCAATCCAAGGCTGTAGAACCCATTCTGTCCTGCTATTTACTGGAGCTGGAGGGAGAAGAAAAGAATTAATAACCTTCCCAGGAGGATTAACACGTAAGTGAATATATATATATATATACAATGACCAGGACTCTATCCTTATATCTAAGTTATTCCCAACTTTCTTCAACGACCTTTCCGATGTCACCAGTTCTTAACTCGTTATCTATGCCAATGACACAGCTATTTACTCCTCTCTTAATAGTAAATCTGTTCGATTCGGTAAGGTCAAATTGCCAACTGATCTAAAAATGACCTACAGTCTGTTGTTAACTGGGGCAACAAATGACTTGTTAATGATAAAATTACCAAAACGAAACCTCTCTTTTTAATCGTCTTAGAAAACCTTTTATGCTTTCCATCAGTATGGCTGATGATAACCTCCAGGAGAGTGACATATTGCGCATTCTCAGGCTAACATTTTCCGTTGAAATGAAGTGGAAATATTTATATTGAATTAATTACTAGGTTTGCAGATAGAAAAATTTGGTTCACTGTGTCCTGCTAAACCAGTGGTTCCCAAACTTTTTTTTCTTTGTGCCGTATTTTCGGAATTAAAATTTGCTCGCGCCTCATCAAATAGCATGTGATGAAAAGCACATTTAAAAATTAAAAAAAAATAAAACAGGGAGAGTGTTAAAGGGAGACAACCGCGGATTTGATTTCAGAACATTATCATTGATAACTCTCTCCTCCAATTTGCTGATCCTAGTTACTATATTCTTAATACTTGAGATAATAGGAAAATGTCATAATGATAAAATCGGTTAACAGTTATTTATAACTATTTATACTGGGATTCATACATGCAATTCCAAGTAATCCATAACAAAATTTTAAATTTTGAAATTATATTTATTTTTGACATATGAATTTTTTTTCATACTGTTTCTAAATCTTTGTGTATCTTTCAATTCCACCTCACCGGCTATCCACTTCCGCCGCTCTTATGAGGAACGCCGCACAGTTTGGGAGCCACTGTGCTAGACAATGCTTCTCTCTGGAATCCATCTTAGTCCTTGAAAAGTCTACCATACGCTACTGAATATTGCTGACATGTTTGATCTGGTGCTTCCGCTATGTATTTAGAGATTCTAGATAAAATCCAAAAAAAGAATCTGCAATGTTTTCGGTACTGACATGGTACCTCAGCTTCAGTCATTGACACCAACAACGTAGCTTCTTTGTGCCTTTTCTATAAATATTTCCATGGTAATTGTTCTGATGAACTTTCCCCTAGGGTACCTTGATATTATCAAATTTAAGAGCAGTACTAGACTACCCTCATCATTTTATAGTTGATGTGGCTAGATGTAACCGTAAATTTTATGTTAACAATTTCTTCTATCGCACTTCTCGCTGGTGGAACTTTTTTCCAGATTGATGCTTTCCAGTTATCTCTGGTCTTCCAAAATATAAATGCAATGTCAATCGTTAATTCCTGTTTTTTGTTTTTGTTTTTTTTTATTCGTCGCAGTGGATTGATTTGTTTTTTTTTATGGCTTATCAACCTTTGTAAGGTTATTTAAAGCCGAAACATATGTTTTGTATTGAATAATTTTTTATGATAAGAATGATTTTCTGATACTGTTGTTACCTAGAGAAGGTTACTGAATAAAATAATCACACGAAGGTTGGTAATGAACGATAATACTGAGGACAAGAACAACATATATAAGATTCACCAGCGGCTTGTACAAGTATTCAATTACTAGAAGTGAGTCAAGTGAATTCTACAATGAATCACGAACTGCAGACCAACATACAATATTCACTACTGTATTTATGTGAATGGGGACATATCCATTATCGTCCGTAGGTATGCTACTACAGATACAGATCTTACTATTTAACCCATAGCTGGGAGGCGAAGAGGTGGATTCATACATTTCCCAAAGTTATTTGCACGTAAGTGAATATAACGAACCCGACTGGAATTTGAACAGCTATTTGTTACTTCAGTTTAGTTTAATATTCAGGAAGAATAACAAAAATGCAGTGTAAGGAAAAGGATTTGATATTTTATTAGTACAATGTAGTTACAAAATTGATTAACTATTTTTCTCTCCATAATATATTTTATACATTTATAAGTCTACCATTCGTGAACACTTTGAATATTACTAGCACATCTGATCTGGTGATTCTGCTATATATTTAGAGATTCTTGATAAAAGACAAAGAAGAATCTGCAATGTTATTAGTCATGACATGGTATATCAGCTTCAGTCATTCCAACTGCCATATTTTAGCTTCCCTGTGCCTTTTTTTCTTCGTGATAATTGTTCTGATAAGCTTTCTCTTTGGTACTTCGATATTATTGAAATTAAGAGCAGTACTAGATTACCCTCATCATTTTACAACTGAAGTCGCCAGTTCTACGCTGATAGTTTCTTCTCATTTCTCGCTTATGAAACTCTCTTCTGATTTCTTGCTTTACAGTCGCCCTTGATATTTGATCTTCAAAATTTAAATGCAATATCAATCATTATCTTTTGTCTTTTTAATTCCTGTTCTTTCATTGTTTTATCTCCTTGATAATGTTTTCTTTTTCTCATATTCTTCAAACTCAGTAGCTCCCTTGTGTCTTAGTGACTTTATTGCCTTGTTTGGGGTGAAATGACT